CTAGTATTGTTTCTGCTTGAATTTTGATTTTTCTTTTTACTTATTTACGTTCGGATTTGAAAATGGAAACAGAGACGATGGATACAGTGAAGGATCTCTTAGGAAGATGGACCAGGAAAGTGGGAGAAGCGACGAGAAAAGCCGAGGATCTGGCCGGAAACACGTGGCAGCATTGTATGCATTTTATTCTTAAATTGCCTTCTTTGATCCTTTTTTTCTCTTCTTGTTGATTAGGTTTGTTATTGTTCTAATTTGAATTAGATAGCGTTTGCTAGGCTTTTAGGGTTGCAATTGATAATGGGTTGTCACTTCCAAATGTGTACTTGAAGTACCTTTTCCCTGTATTGTTAAATCAGTAAGAACAAGCCCTAGTTTTGCTGAGGCAGCCATGGGAAGAATTGCTCAGGGAACAAAGGTTTTAGCAGAAGGTGGGTATGAGAAGATCTTTAGACAGACTTTTGAAACAGTTCCTGAAGAGCAACTCCTAGATTCATTTGCATGCTACTTATCCACATCTGTTGGTCCTGTCATGGGAGTTCTGTATGTTTCTACGGCAAAGCTTGCATATTGCAGTGACAATCCTCTTTCCTATAATAATGGTAGCCAGTCCGAATGGAGCTACTATAAAGTATGTTCCCATTAATCTTATCAATAACTTTAACTTTATGCATACAAAGAGTTGTGTTCAGGTTTATTGCAAGAATGGATCGAGGTATGCACCCGCTGCACTCCCACTCCTTGAATATTTTAAATTCTTGATTTTCTTTGTATTGGTGTTATAATTTTTTTAAATTCGCACCCTTGAGATGAAATCTTGCGTTTGTCCTGGTTTATCGAGTCAGAAGTAACATTTCTTTACTGCTTGCTTAAACAGGTAATTATGCCATTACATCACCTGAGATCAGTTCATCCTTCAACAAGCAGGGTCAATCCGTCCGAGAAGTACATCCAAGTTATATCCATTGATGACCATGAATTTTGGTTCATGGGCTTCTTAAACTATGACGATGCAGTTAAATACCTACAGGATGCTTTGCAACTCCATAGCTTCCTATCTGTATGAATACAATTTCATCAAATATTCTGATCATGCAAGCATTTGATAAGGCTTTCTCCTCCGGTAGCTCTTCAGTATTCTACAGGAATGACAAATGAGGTGACTTTATAGAAGAAAATAATATAATAAATCTCTTACTGTTTTCAACTCATGACTTGCAATAATCAATTTAGTAACTTCGATTGTTGATTTTACATTTCTTCCTCTTTCCTTTACGGGTCGACTTTTGCCTGCTTTTGCTGCATATAACTGCCTCCACTGTCAAAGAGGTTTTAAATTAACAGAGCATAAGATCATTAACACAGAGATTATAAATGGTAAATGCTACTAACGTGAAAATTTCAAACGCTATACATATTTATTTGTATATATATTTTTTAACTACCCGTATCCAAATACAGTCGCCTAAATATCATTTGTAATTCTAATATAATCTAATCGCATTCTTCCGAGTGAAAGTTGAGAGAAAAAAAAAGATTTACACGAAAATAAATCTGATAATAATCCTAATATTAAACATATATAAATAAATAAAGCTTAATATGATAAAAAAATGCATTTACATTAATATATATGAGCCACCTTGAAGTTTCAATGGGTATTGAGGAATCGGAAGAAGACAACCTTAACAACTTCAAGCTGGGTATAATATGACCCAGCTTTCTTTATTGATTTCATGAAAAAGGAATTACAAAGAAGATGACAAATAAAGGGATCGATGCTGAATGCTTGTGCTATGAGCAAAATCCCTTTTATACATCTCCCCCACCATGCACACACTAATTTCTATTTCTATGTTAATCTTTTGATTTATTTTTGGGTGAACTACACTTGTAGTCACTAAAAAACTTAGGGTGCTTTCCCCTGGTCCTCAAACTTTTAAAACTTGTACGTGATCACTAAACTTTTATTTCATTTTCATCACAATCATTGTTATTAGCACCCGTTAAAAAATTGTTGACATCGTCGGTCAATTTAACTGTTGAAAGAATATATTTAGCCATAAGATTAATAGAGATTCGTTGATATAATGATTGATAGTGACATAGCATAAAGTTTTATTTTTAAAAAAATTTTGATTAGAATTTGACGAGATTATAAGGTTATTTGACAAGTTTAAATCGAAGAAAAGAAGGTCATGTTAGTATTTTTTATTAAATAATGGTATTTATTAGTTAGTTTAATGAAAGCGAATTAAAAGTTCAATAATTATAATATAAGGTTTAAAAGTTTAGCGACTACATTGAAAGCATTCTAAAAGTAAGTGACTAAAAGAGAAATGTACCCTTTGTTTATATGATTCTTCTTCCTCCTTCGGGCTCGTGCTCCTCTCTGTTACCCTTACGTCTCTTTGACTCTTTCTCTTCCCGTCAACATTCGTTTTCCCGTTAATTATAAAAACCTTGTAAACATCCAAAGGATTATCCTTATGTAATATTAGATATAATTTCATCCTAATATCATACGAAAAAATTCAGATATAGTTGTACCACAATAAATATAGACATCCAACAGTACTACTACAACCAATCCTTATAATCAGAAAAAGGTTGAGACTATGATACTCATCTAGTCTTGTTCTAGCAACTCAATCCAGTTTTTGCAGTGAGACAGTGACAATTTTCGGGTCCCCCACAAGAATGATTGCAGTGTTCAAAAGTGAACAGAAAACCATATATAGAACGGCTGCAATCGTAAAAAATGAGCTGGCCATCATCATTATACTTGTTGCTACCAAAAATTATATAATAAACAAATATTCATTACTTATATATATATTTTTAACAGTCGTATGTCATTCACTTCTTCTGTTGGTATTCTTCCCTTCCCTTTCAAATGCTCCCATTGCATACACAGAGATGAAAAAAAGGGTTGTTCGTGCCATAGGGATCCCTCCCTTTAATGGCTCTGTCAGTTACAAACTTTGGGTTTCCTTTTTTTTCTTTCTCTAATATATAAACCTTTTGCTTAGCTGTGCTTTTATCGGTCAAAGTTTTGCGTTATTTTACTGTTTTATACTCTCTCTTGTCTGCTGGTTTTCTAAGGGGTGGCTGCTTTTTGAGTTTCTGTTTTAAGGTAAAAGGCTGCAGTCATTAACAGGGACGTGGCTAAATGGGCAATTTTACTTCCATGGAGCTTTGAAAATAAAGAATGGCTGAAATGAGGAAGGAGAAAAATTATTTTCCCAAATAATGTATTTTGAATAGTGTCGTTCACTGTTGGTCTCTTCTCCCTCTCTTCTCCTCCACTACTGCAGTCTTTCTCTACCTCCGTCTCTCCTCCTTTAGCCAACCACCTGCTCAATAAATTTACAGTAAAGTTGTTCTCAAGCTCAGTCGAAACCCAGTTCAGAACCGAAAAGTCATTGGATTTCGTTGAATTAACACTGGAAAGGGGGAGGTTTTTGGTGTTTAAAGTGGGGTTTAAGGTGAAATTTCGAAGGGAATGTGAGGGATTTTGGTGAGTTTGATTGATATTAACAAAGGACTTCACTTTCAAGGTGATGTAATCTTGTTTAAACTGACCCAAAACGTCATTGATGAACTATAACAAAGCTCCCTCCTTTCTCAGGCATCTGTAAATAAAACAAAGTGAAAACCCAGAAAGAACAAAGCTCCCTCTTTTCTCAGGCGTGCATGGCGACCTAGCAGGTCGCCCGGAACAGCCGACGACTAATTCTTTTAATATAAAATTCATCTTATCTCAACAATTAATCATTCAATTGTATTATCTCAAGAAATTTTTATTTTGAAACCATTATCTCGTGACTTTTGCCTGGCTAAATGACTGGAAGTTATGTATAAATTTTTATGAAGGGGAATTTTATTTTTATGCTCTTAATGACAATAATTGATGTATATATTTGATTTTGGAGTCTTTATTTTTATGTTTCTCAATGTCAACAACTGATAGATATAATCGATTTTAGGCTCCTATTTTCTAGACCCTACGCGATCGCCCACCTTGCACACCCCCAACCACGCTCTTGGTCATTAGATGGAAAATTCATTATTTTTCTCGAGAAAAAAAAAGTATAGCAGAATCTTAGCGGATACCATTCGGAGTCTTTGATATTATTTCTATTTTAGCTAAACCCAAAATTAATCCATATTCTGATATAAAAATATATGTAATATTCTAGTCAAGGAGACAACAAATTCTCTACGTATAAAGATCTGTGCAGTATTTAAATAGCTTACCTTTTGTGCAGCCTCCTGGGATATTAACGTGGCCATTACAATATATGATTCATCAAATAAAAGCAACATTTTCCTAATCTTGTTCAATAAAAATTCTAATGTAATCGACAATGGCAATTCCTCAAACTCAGCGATGATAACAGATGAGATTAAACACTTTTTTTTTATTTATCCATTAATGATTTTCTTTATTATGTCTTTATAAGCCATCTGGATTTTCTAAGGAAATCCATCTTATATATGCATACACTGGAACATGATCTCATTCTTCAAATTTCTGAGTTCAGACACCAAACTCAACTCAACTAAGCAAAAGATGTTGACTGGGGGCCACCCACAGACGGGCCCACTACCCACATGTGCCCTTTTTTTTTATCCCTATAACCAACAAAAAAAACGACACCGTGTGATGCTTGATGTCAGCACAGTTCAGACAGTCTTTTTGGATTACAATTTAAATCGGTCATATTTTTACTTACAACTATTCTTTTTTTTTGCCCTTTTTTGGATATTTAATTACTTATTATCTTGGAGCTTTTAGTAATTAAAATAAATGTGAGATTTGCTTTAAGCACCACCATTCTTTTTTTGACCAGAGGTCACTGGTTAAACACCACCATTCTATTCATTTCTGCCTGTGACACCAATAGCTGTAATTTGAGGGTTTCTTGATTTATATAAACAGCTGGTGACAACTTCTTTTCATGCTTTTAGCATTGAAGACCTTGGAAATCATTCTCCACCTTTTTTCTTTCTTTTTTGTATTTTCCCATTTCTCACTATTTGAGCTCCCAAACCACACCAAAGTTCCCATTCAACCATATTGATTTTAGACTATTTAAAATAATTAATTAAAAAAGGAAGGGTAAATTCACATCTCATGACAATCCTGTCTGGAAGTTTTATCGTTGTCGTTGTTGTCATCGTCATCGTCGTGTTTTCTCCTTTTAATGTCGGGACTAGAATGAGAAGAATTCGCCGAAGAGCCAACTGTTATTTCATCACTTTTATAGCTCTGGCATGCAGCTGCATCCAACACCCCAATGGGGCTTTGGGGCACAGTGGAAGAAGCGGCAGCTGATGAGTGTCGAGTTGCAACAGCAGCAGCACCATTAATGAATGACAAATCTTTCATCAGTTCAACACACTTCAATACTCTACCCTGCAACAAAATAATCACATCTTACTGAATCATCTAAATACTAAAAAAGGATCAATACCAAGAGTGCAAGATCTTTGTTTTTTATATTTTTACTGCTTATTTTTTTACCTTTTGTACAAAGGTGAAAGATGAAATTGCCTTGTCAATTGCTACTGTTTGCATCTCTCCTGATACAGAAATTGCCACTGCTGCAGCTATCTCAGATGGTCTGAATTCCAAGAAGTCAATACCTGCATTCATTTTCACACACCAAACCCCATTAAGACAATGAAAAATTGGACAGATAAGGTAACAATTCTGTCCGTTTTGGACATTGAGAAACAACCTTTGATTGTGTTTATTATCAGTTGTAATGATTTAGACATTGAACTTGATGATGGAGATTGATCATTGCAGATTTTACTCAGGAAGTAGTCAATGAAAGAGCAAGGCGTAATGGCTTGCATTTTCCACTTCAATGTGGATAAAACCAAAACCTCCATTCTGTATATTGTTTTAGCTTCAAACACGAACTTTGGTTCTCCAACCTGCAAATCTACAAGTAGAGGCATTTTTGTCTCCTCCATTTTGGCTGCAATTGATAAACAAGCAACAGCAAGCAATTGTACGGTCCATGTTTTACCTCTCTGTCATGTTTAGCACAAAACATAGAGAAACAAACCAGAGGATGCAAGACAAAGATCAGTGGCAATGATTTATGATGTAATAAAAAAAATAAGGAATCGAAGTTACAGGTAAATCATAAACTGCTAGGAATCGGTCCAAATAGTTAATGGCTAGGCAAATACTCAAAGGTCCAAAATGGTAATAAGCTGAAGCCTGTTGATCACCAAATGAAAGATCAAGTCAAAGATGATTGAATTGTTTCATCATCAATCATGACACATTATCAAAGATGCAGAATGACAAGGGGAATCATAGAAAATATAAAAAAATTCTAATATCTAGTTTCCACTAAAGAAGAAAAGGTTGAAAACTACAAAACAAAAAATCTATGGTAGCTTGGAAATTGATTGATCCAAAAATAAAATATGATCATAAAAAAAACAATGTGATGAAATGGATAAAACAAGAAAAGGAACTCAAGAATTTCATTTGAAAAGAAAAAAAAACAGACCTTCCAAACCCAATCAAGAGCCTCTCTCCTAACACTCAAATCCAAATCTCCAGTTCTGAGTCTCTTGAGATAATCATCTTCAGGCAAATGCTCCACCTCTTTTTTCAACCATCTCTTTGATTCTATCATCACTTTGTATCGCAAAACCAGAACAACCCATCAAAGAAGTTGATATGTCGTTTATAAAAAAGGGGTCTTGTTGATTAAAGATTTGATTTTTAAGGTGGTGGTCACAACCAGGGGAAACCCCAAACTCATTCAAGGAATTGAAATCGAGATCCTCGTCAAAGCAAGAGTTCGTGATTTCCAAACAGAGGAGATTTGAGGGCGGACAGTCGAGGTTTTCTTCCATTTTCATATCAGAGGGAGCCTAAAATGGTGAGGTGTTATAAAACCTCGAAAAAACAAGTAAGTGCTCAATTCATCAAGCTGAAAGGTTTGTGTGAAAAAGGGTTTATCAGTAGCTTGTGGGGAAGAGCATTTTGTCCATAATACAGAAAAGCCAAAAAAGAGAGTTGAAAGAGAGTGGGGCGGAAGATACTGTTTCAATGAGAGAAGCCGGGGAAGACAACTTGTATTAAGACTGCGTTTGGTTCTATACGGATGGAAGATTATTTTTGAAATAAGATTTTTGTTATATAACATTTTTAAAATTTAGTCGGGTCTTACGTTTTTATCTATATGCAGAGATTTTCACGTAGAGATTTATTTGCAAGGATTACTTCCCATTAAAGACGCGCATACGTGGACTGCATATGATGCATGTTTCAGCTATGTATTTATTCTATTTATTTATACATGCATTGCATTTTATCTTTCTTTTTAATTTTCTGACTGCTAGAGGTCTTACACGGAAGCTGCTCTCAAACTTGGCGTTTGGGGGCAGTCTACTACCCTACCTCCCCCTTACCCCATTGCATATGGGAATATGGTATTGTTGTTGTTGTTGTTGTTGATAGATAAATATAAAATTACTTATAAATAAATTTTATTAAATTAGTTATACAATGTATTTTTTAATAAGTTAAATATTTGATATTAAATTTAACATGTTCATTATCGTATCAAATTAGAATAAATTTAAATAACTCATAAAAAATCCATTGTCATAAACTTACAAACTAAACTATTATATAAATTTAACATGTGAATTTGGGGACAATGTTATCGAAAAGCTATAACCGAAATTGATCCTTCAACAATTAATTATAATTCTATTAAAATTAAAGTTAAATTTTAATAAATAATTAATTTAAATAAATTCTTATATTATTTAATATTTACATAATAAAAACAAATATACTTCTAATGTATTTCGATACATCACTTTAGTATCATGTTGCGATACGCGACATGCCATATAAACTCTATCATATAAAGAAATTTATGATTATACATCATATCATAGATGGTAAAAACTTTTGTTACATTAAGAACCCAAAGTTTTATTAACTTTTATTAGAAATAAGCACGGGCAGGTAGGGCAGTGGACCAGGGAAAAATTCTTGTTAAATTCATGCACATGCTTGTACATCTTTATCTGAATTCAGTCTATAAGATCATTTATTTGCACATGAAAAATATTTCATCATATAAAATATATATTGATAATTATTTTTCCGAATTAATTGTATTTATTAATAAAACATGTTAAATCATTATAAATATTTGTTTTTATATATTATCCATATTATAATGAAGTTAAATAATGGTATTTGAAAAATAAAATATTTAAAAACTAATAAGTCATATTATTCAGACACATCACTGTTTAACAATTATAAAAGGTTTCGGCTCAAATGTAGCATCTTAATGTTGTGCCATGCAAACTTATAAAATAGAAAATAAATTTTTGAAATAAAATAATAAAATGAAATGTTTATTACTTTATTCATGTTTGCCATTGTTTCTACTTTCTAAATATTTATAATATTATTAACCCATTAATTATGAATAATATTGGAAATAATACCATCTGTGAATATTCTTGAAGTATCGTATTTATTGATTTATAATTGTAAGTGCTGGTTATATTTATAAATAATGCAAAGAAATATATTTATTTAAATTTAAAATTTAAATAAATTAAATTCAAATGCTGAAAAACATGGGTTGATATTTTTAGAGTTTTTTTTGTTGATTTTTTTACTAAATTTTTGCTTGGTAATTTTACCTAAATGCCCTCGTGTTTTTAGCTATAAAATGAGGGCCTCTTTTCACTTTCAACTCACTCATAGGGATGGCAACGGGTCGGGTTCGGGCCGGGTATTGGTCCCCACGTCTCCGTTTAAAAAATAGGTATCCGTCCCCGTTTAAAAAACTGTGGAGATTTAAACGGGGATCCCCACCGGGTAATCGGGAAAAATCGCAGGGAAACGAGTATCCCCGTTTAGCATAAACGTTTATTTAAACGGGTATCGGTAGGGTTGTTCATTCGGTTAATTCGGTGGCCGAACCGACCGAACTACCATTAACCGAATTAACCTATTTTTTTTCTTTAACCGTTAATCGAACCAATTTTTTTTTGAAAATATTAACCGAACCGAATAAATTTTGATTAATTCGGTTAATTTTTGAATTAACCGAAATTTTTTAGAATTTTCAAATTTAATACTAGAGAGCAGCTGTTGTTCCATTTGCTAGGGAAGAACGTGATGTTGGTATAGGTCTCGAGGCTGATTTTAATATGGCTAATTCACATATTTCGCTTTGTCAGAGGAACGTTAAAGCTTGTGTAATGGAGACAACTTGTATGAGGTTATTGGAATGCGAGGTGAAAATGAGGGTTGTTGTCGAAGAGACGAAGACAATATGTAAGTTGCATTGATTTTAAATTCTGCTGAACATAATTTCCAGCTTGTCAATGCTAGTGGTGGGCTTCAGGTGTGTAATGGTGTACTGGACGAGGACCCTGCAGCAAGTACACGTTCGTTGGAAGTGGCACAATACCACCAAACCAACCAGACTTTTCCCATTTAACTAGACAATGTTTGTCTATTAAAAGATATTAAAGGTTCACACGTGATTGCAAACAAGAAGTGTAAGTACTATTTTCACGATTAAAAGAAAAAAAGAATTTTATGAGACAGCAAAAATTGAGGTAAATTCTAGAAATCGAAGCGGGGACGATGTTTTAAAGTGGGTCAGTATGGGTGAAACAAATAATAAAAAATATTTAAGGGTTAATTTAAAATATGTTATTAATATTATATATAATAAATAATTATTTTTAATATTTATCGGGTCGGGCATCGGGCCGGGTAATCGGGTAATCGGGGTGGGGATTACCAAACTCGCCTCCATCCCCGTTTAATATAAACGGGTTTTCCCTATCCCCATCCTCATTTATCATCCCCGAACCCGACCCGTTAAATTCGGTTTTCGGTTTTCCCCGTCGGGTTCGGGTTTTTTTGCCATCCCTACTCACTCACTTCATCTTTAGGGTTTAGGGTGAAAAATATCCGACCCGACCCGAAAAACATATAATTTTACATTATATATTTAAGAATAATTACAATAAAATCCTTATAAATATTATTATTTTTAATTAAATCATTACTTTTATTGAATAAAATAATATTTTTTTATTATTTCGGGTCAGATCGGATTCGGATTTTATCTCAAAAAGTCGGGTCGGTTCGGTTGGAGAGTATATATTTTTTTAGTCGGGTCGGGTCGGGTGAAGGATGTAAAATTTTCAGGTCAGGTCGGGTTGGTCGAAACCTGACCTAAACCCGACCCTTGCCCATCCCTATTCATCTTCCTCTTTACTTCTACATTTTCTCTCTTCACGAAGCATAGTGAAGTTTTTCCTTTTCCAGTGGCCTTTGATATTTTTTCGAAGGATTTACCCCGAATAAAATATTTTCCTTTCTTCCAGAAAAGAGCAACACTATTAGAGTTCCACTTCCTTATTTCGGGTGTACGAAATTTGGAAAACTATGTTAACCTTGGGGGGAAACATCCATTGTTAGGGATTACACGAGTTCGAGCGAAATTGATTCTAAGGCAGTGACTACACGGCACAGTAAAATTACTTGGTATTCATTTATTTACCTTATTTATTTTTCCAATAAGTGTTAATCTTTTGTGTTGCAGTAAGCAATTTTTTCCAACAATTTATAAGCAATTTCTATCTACTTACTGTAAGAACATGGCTATCACAAACTTGGTCGAGAATCCAGATGAAATGATTGTTGTTGTAGTCTCTGAGGTCAATTCGGTGGAAAACCAAACTGAGTGGGTAGTGGACACTGGCGCTTCCAAACACTTTTATGCCAATAGAGAAATGTTAACCGAGTTTAAAGATGTAGATAAAGGTGTACAAGTCTACATGGGAAATTCTAGGAGTTCAAAATTATTCGATAAAGGAAATATCTTATTGAAACTTACTTCTACGAAAACTCTTGCTCTGCATAATGTTTTGTATGTTCCTGCATTACGTAGAAAACTTATTAGTGGTGGTCTCTTAAATAAGGCATAAATTAAATTAATATTTTTGACTTATGAGGGAATCTTTGTGATTGAAACTTTGACTAATGTTATGAATAAGACATCTACTTCTGTTTATATTATTGAGACTTATGATATGTGTCATGCTAGATGAGGTCATATGAATCTTCACTCTTTAAAAAGGTTAAAACAAATGAACATGATTCCTAATCTAGATGAAACCAACTTTAATAAATGTGAAATATGTGTTAAAGCAAAGCATGCTAGACCTCACTTTAAATCTGTTACTTTTAGACAAACTGAACTTTTAGAATTAGTTCATATAGATTTAGAAGATTTTGGAAATATAGAGAGTACAAGTGGAAAAATATATTATATCATTTTTGTTGATGATTACTCTAGATTTTCTAAAGTTTATCTCTTTATGTTTAAAGATAAAAAAGAAAAAATCTTTTTAATGTACAAAGCATAAGTAGATAACCAACTTGACAAAAGAATAAAATGAATTAGATCTGATAGGGGGAGAATATATGGCTAATCTTCTTAAAGAAACTTATGAGAAAGAATGTATTATTCATGAGCTTTCTGCCCCTTACACACCACAACAAAATGGCATAGCTGAAAGAAAGAATATAACTTTAAAAGAAATTATGAATGCTCTTTTGCTTAGCTCTGTTTTATCTGATAACATATAGGGGATGGCGTACTTTCTGCTAATCATATCCTTAATAGAGTGCCTCATAAAATGTTAGATTGTATCCCATATGAGTTGTGAAAAAGTCATACTCCTAATTTAAATTATCTAAAAGTGTAGGGGTGCCTAGCAAAGGTAGAATTTCATGCTTCTAAAAGGAACACAATCAGATATAAACTTATTGATGTTGTGTATATTGGTTATGTTTTAAATAGTACTGCTTACATATTTATGCTATTGCCTGATTATTCAATATGTGAATCTAGATATGTAGTATTCTTTGAAAATGTTTTTCTTCTTAAAAAGCATAGTAATCATGACTTGAAATGAGATGAGAATATTTCTTCTTTTAGGAAAACCCTAGTGATGATAAAAGTGATAATGAACCTATAAGGAGTAAAAAA